AAAGTAAACTTTAACAGAAAAATTCAAGCAGTGAAAATCTGTAACAATCCTGTGTGCCAACTTGTAACTGGTATTTCAGGATCATTACCAGAAGAATACTTCTTTAGTTTCTGTAACATACCTACAAATTTAATAGGTAGGATCTGCTTCCAGATGAAATATCCTGCAGCCCTTATACATAATCGGATTATAGCTTATCTACACAGGAAAATATCTACACTGTATATAATTCAAGGCATTACTAAAGAAATAGCAATGGTCCCAGAGTCCTCATGGACAAAAGATAACACAGACGGAAAGATTAATTGGAGTAGAATGCATAAGAGTCCAGATTGATTCTTCCTGTGTTATCATGAATCTGCCTTTTTGTACAAATTTGAAAATTCTGGGCTGTGTTCTAGGTGGGTTAACTAGAAAACATGGCACCCATCATAGCTCTTGCCTATTGAAGCCCACCTCTTAATTCAGTAATCAAGGCTTTACTTCCTTGCTTTGGAGAAATTACAGACATCAGTTAAATTAGCTAACACATCTTCAGAGCTTATATTAAGCCTTTAAATCTTATGTTACCATAAATAGTAAATTCTCGTTGCTAACCAAAACCACCCAACATTTTTCAACTAGTTGATTAATTATAATTCATTGCCATTTTCTCCTTCTCCTATTACTACCCGCTAGTCTGACACTCCTAATCCAGCACTGTATATTCCTTAGCCAATGAAGGAAAGTCTTATGATTGTGTTTCTGAAATTGAAGAAGTGTCTTTGCACCAAACAGAACTTTATGCCCTAGTACCAAATTCCAACTTACAATTGTTTGTTGATGGGTATTATATTAAAAATAAAAAGGACAATACAAGACTTGATTTACAATATATGCAAGAAGTAGTCCAGTCCCTCTTATAAAATCCAATTTCTTAACAAAAGCCAAATTGTTCAATGACTGAAATGTGGCCCTTTCTAGGGCATATAAAATTGCTAAAATAGATAAGAAGGCATATAAACTACTAATTGGTATGTTTCCAAGTAATTTACTTCTTTAACTTTCTATTGAAACATCTTCTTCAGGTATTCTTTAAAACTGAACAACAAATATGAATTACTTGATGCCTTGATGCTATCTGAAATAATCCTAAATTGAGGTTCTGCAAAGAAATGTCCAGAAGCAGAAGCATGGATGTTGAATGCTAAATCAAGAATCTTGGAACAAGAAGATGACCACATGAAGGAGTGACCATCCTGACAATACTCCCAGACAATATACCTACAACTTTGCTGAAGTTGATCACAGCTCTTGTACAGCTCCTGGGTTCTTTATCCTGTGCTTAAATCAGGCTTTCTAATGTCATTCCAGAACCAAAGTTGACTATTCAGTAGGGCCATTAGTTAGGCCATTCCAAGGACTAAATATCTCTTTACAAAGAGTCCAAAGGGGTAAACCTCTTTCAGGAGAGATTCCTGAGGCCAGTGATCCCATCGATAGGAGTTAGACAACTCAAGGTATTCATTTTTTAAAAAATGGTTGACATAGTAAATAATGGCTACCTTGGCTGACATAGTAAATTATACAGCCTAAGTGCTGGGGGCACAACAAACCAGTTTAAATATAGTAACCCAAGCAGTCCTGCCTAACAGAATCACCTTAGGTTTTCTCTTGGCCAACGTGGGAGGTGTCTCCCCCATAGCTTACACTTCCTGTTGCACCTGGATTAACAATACAGGTAAGGCAAAACAATCTGTTTTTAAGCTAAAAGAAAAGGCAACCTCGCCATTTCAGATAGACACAGGGAATATTTGGGACCTGCTTTCTTGATCAGGACTGAAAAATGTTGGGTCATAACTGGGGAGACCTTCCAGTCTCTTATTATAATGCTTCTAGTTATACTTGTTTGTCTCAGAGTTGTTCAATGTCTGTGGTCCAGAACTTTAAATGCTTCTGCACAGTACTGTCACAACAAATGATTTAAAATCATATTGATTGAAGTGAATCTGAACATCAGACCTCCACAGGTGAAATTTCATCTTCAAGGAGAACCAACAACAGTGGTGAAGATCTGGACAATCCTTGATGGTCTCTCTTGAAGCTTTGGCTGAATGAGGACCAAGAGTGGGGGCTGAGAGCTAAGTGTTCCCACAAACTTAGGGCAAGCTGAGTGTCTGTACCCAAGAACCAGTCTTAAAGTTACTCTGTTGATGAGGGACAATTCATCTCGATGGACTTGCTTTTGCAAACCAACCTATCAGTGTCAGTCCCTCACTGCTGAAAGTCAGGCAACCAGGGATGGACTCATTCTAACAAACTCCCATTGGAGTGGCGACCAATCAATAGAGCTGCTCATACAGGTGACGTCAACCCACCTACACTGCAGAGAGGCTACCGTCCCTGAACTCCAGGCTTCACTAAAATGCCCTCTAAGAGCAGCATTCTGCTCTGCTCAGAGAGATTGTGCCTGACTAGCATGGCTCTCCCGCACTCCAGTAAGCAATAAACGCAGCTATGTCTTTTTATTTCAGATCTTTAGTAGTGGTCTCGTCATCCTCTAACAAGGTTAAGTCCTCTCTCTCTTGTGTTGCAGTTCCCATCTCAGCATCTGACATAGGTTAGGCTTTCAGTATACATTTGAATAAAACTCAGCAGATAAAGAAACCGGGAAGAAGTGTTGTGTTTCCCTAGGTAACACAGCTAGTTGGCAGTAGAACTAGAAACTTTAGAAACTTTGACACCTGCTACCATGGAGAAATCAGGAAATCAGGTTTGTAATTAACCCTTCACAGTAACATGAGGACATAGACAGCCTCATATTACATGCAGACCCCTGGATCACTTAGAGGCCTTGCAAAGCCAAGAGACTATTTTCGAAAGTTATCTGGCAGAGAAAGAGAGAGAAAATGAAATAGTGCAAACAAATATATAAAAGCACAAAGATGTCACAATGCTTTGCTTCTGCTACCTCCAAATCAGAACAGTGAGAGCCCCTCAGAGACAGAACTGTAATTGCTTTTCCCTTTTTTTTTTTAAGTTTTTTGTTTTTTATTTTATTTATTTTTCCCCCAAAGCCCCAGTAGATAGTTGTCTGTCATAGCTGCACATCCTTCTAGTTGCTGTATGTGGGACATGGCCTCAGCATGGCCGGAGAAGCGGTGTGTCGGTGTACGCCCGGGATCCGAACCCGGGCCTCCAGCAGCAGAGCGTGCACACCTAACCACTAAGCCACGGGGCCGGCCCTGCTTTTCCCTTTTAAAGTGTGTTTGGTATTGACCGTGAAGTGCATTTACCTGGATAAGCAACCTGGCAGAAGGGGATCCATGGAAGGTGGGCCCTTGAAGTGGCAGGTCCTCTGGTTCCTGACCTGGAACTGGGGCAATGCTCGCACATGTGGAAGCTCCAGGCACTTTGGTGGCACTCTTACGCATCAGCACTTGTTGCTCAGTTTAGAAATCTAACAATCAGAGCTTCCCAAATTTGGCACTATTGACATTTTGGTCTGAATAATTCTTTGCTGTGGGGGGCTGTCCTGTGCATTGTGCAATGTTTAGCAGCATCCCAGGACTCTGCACGCTAGATGCCATTAGCACCCTTCCTGCAATTCTCAATAATCAGACATGTCTCCAGACATTCCGAATGTTCCCTGGGGGACAAAATCACCCCTGGTTGAGACCATTGTTCTAGATAAAAGGACAGGTACCCTCTGACCCCCTTTCCCTTCTTTCTTCTAGAATGATGCCCTCCCCTTCCTCCCCTACCTACACCCCAGGTCCCTTTAAATTTGTCTGGTTTGGATTGTCTGGTTATGGTTGGCATTAGGTACCGACTCTAGAAAACAGTCATATACAGAGCTCACAGTAGGTGTCTATCTCCCTCACTAGGCAAAGGTGATGTCTTTTTCACCCCTTGCACAAGCCCATAGTATGTGATCAGTATGCTGAATTGAATTTACTTTGTTGTCTCAGAGCCAAGAACAGAAAAGGGTGGCTGTGTAGGTTTCTGATCTAACTTACATATGTGAATTAAGTTCAAGGGATCATCCTTGGCAATGAATTGGGGGGGGGTGCAGTCTACACAGCCAATGGATTCAGTTCTCATATAGTTCCTGAATCTTGAATCGCAGGGTCAGATATTAAGAGCTAACAAAAAGCAGGAGCGTCTGGGAGAGAAGAGGAGAAAAGAGCCCTCACTTTTGCTGAAGCGGTTGTCGTACGCTAAATGCCACGTGTAAAGAGCTGCGGAATTGTCTACCTTAGATTTTTAATTTCCTCCTGTAGCTTTACTCACATTCAGGAAGGCAAACAAGTGGACATACAGCTGCACATACAGCCTGATGAGGCTGTGGGGCTAGACCCAGAAAGTAGCACAAGGCAATGGGAGCAGATAACACATGCAGGCTCTGAGACAGGTGTAAACAACATCTTTAATCTTGCATCAGAACAGGAGGATGCTGCAAAACAGCAGTTAGTAAGCCAGGAGATACCATATTTTGCATTAATTTGCGAGGAAAAAAATAGACTGGGTTTGAAACATTAACCTGCTTTGCCTGATGGATGGCGGTCTTCCTGCCAAGCCACATTACCATCCCTCCCTTCCCTCCTCCTTGAACACCCCCACTCTGAGTGCAGGAAGCTGCAAGTTTATCTAGTGCAGCCCAGACACCAACTTCTTCAGACATTCTAAAGGATGTTATAGAGCCACAGAATTTTCCAGCCAAGTGGGACTCTGTGGAATTATGTAGTCCGAACCCATCGTTTTGTGTATAAGGAAATAATCCATCAGAGATGGTAAAGGATATTATTAGCTCTGTGATACTGAGCATGTCAGAGCAAAGTAAGTCTCTGATTCTCTGATGCTTTCTTTCTGTCTCTCAGTCTACCCCTTTACTCCCCACCACAGCCCCCCACCCCAAAACGTAAAAGTTCCCCTTTCTACAAATTTGGGGGGAGGTGTGCTGGGAATAAAGCCTGCACAAATGCCAGTAAAGTATTTTTAAGGATCGCTGTAACACCCACCTCCACAGCTTCGGATAAGGGTGAGATGCTGTTGGTCTTCCTGGAGCCCACGCGGAACTTGGCGGCCTTGTAGATCTTCCAGTACACGAAGAGCACCACGCAGAGCGGCAGGTAGAAGGCGCCCACGGTGGAGAACACTGTGTAGGAGGGCTCGCGGCTCACCTGGCACTCCTCGCTGCCCTCAGAATAGGTCTCCCCCCAGCCGAAGAGTAGCGGGGTTAGAGAGATGACCGCGGAGAGAGCCCAGGTGAGCGCGATCATCGCGTTGGAGACGCGCTTGCGGGTGTGCAGCGTGTATTCCAGGTGGCGGGTGATGGACCAGTAGCGGTCCAGCGCGATGGCCGTCACGTTCCAGATGCTGGCCGTGCAGCAGAGCACGTCGCAGGCGATCCACAGTTGGCACAGCCGCCGGCCCAGCTGCCAGCGGCGCCCCGACAGCTCATGCACCAGGCTCAGTGGCATGACCAGAGCGGCCACCAGCACGTCCGAGATGGCCATGGACGCCACCAGGTTGTGCGGAACGCGGTGGAAGGTGCGCACACGGAGAATGGTCGCCAGCACCAGCAGGTTCCAGGCGAACGTCGCTGCTACCAGAAAGCCCAGCAAGGTCAGAATGAGCACGCCGAAGACGGAGAGGAGGGGAGGGCTGGGGCGCGGGTCTTCTGTGCCGAGGCTGCGGTTGGACTCCAAAGGGGCGGGTGTGGAGAGGGAAGAGTAGGTGAGGTTCACAGGTGAATCCATCTCTGGTAAGGAGACCGGACCAGGCTGCGCGCCGAGGGCGCGTTCAGAAGGACCTAGCGTGGCCGCTGCGCCCAGAGCCACTCCGGATGTTTGCAGCCTCTGGCCAGTGGCGGGGTTTCTGGGGAGTGCCTGTGAACCTGGCCCCAACCTCCTGCCAGTGAGCATCCGTGGGAGATGGTGTAGGGGGGGGGGGGGGGGGGGGGGCGGGAAGGCGCTGTGCTGCAAGCCGAGACAAGTCTGAAAACCTCAGAGGCTGGGAAAGCCAAGGCAGGCGCTGCGTCTGGCAGCCAGGGCCCGCCTAAGCTGTCATATGCCTAGGCTCTTAGCCTGGTGGAGACGGCAGTCTGGTCACCCAGAGCCGAGCATCTCCCAAGTCAGGGAGAAGCTGGGCGGCCCCAGTGCGTGTGGGTGCCAGGAGAGGGGCTGGTGCGTCAGAGCAGTTCTCTCCGCGTTGCCTGTCTCCAGACAGCGGGCTGCAGCCTCAACTCCTTGCTGGGCAAGCCAAGCAGGGACTTGCTTTCTGGGACCTGCCTTCTGCTATTCCCCCTCCTCCGCCCCACGCCGTCTGGGGCTGCGGCTCCGAAGACCGAATGCTGGCGCGCCCACCCAGACCTGTCTTATCAAACTAGGGATCCAGCCTACGTAAGGCATCAGCTGATAAGGCCGCCTCTCCCCGCCTCCCGGCTGCGAGCGCGCGGCGCTGGCGCTGTCCGTGGTGCTGCTGCCTCCCCGCCGGAGCGCGTCTCTACGCTTGGTGCTGTCCATGGTGCTGAAAAGAGTTCCTCGCGTGGAACAAGATTACCAATGAACTTTCCTTGAAATGTTCCTCTAGCTTCCCCCTACCACGTCTTTCTAGGGGTAATCGGGATGCCTTGAGCGGGTTCTTAGCTTCCCATGGGTCTTGCCTTTCGTACACGTGTGCCTAGTTAAGAGTCAAAGATGATTTCTCTGGCTTTTCTTCTCCAGAAGCCTGGTTTCCTTCTTACACAACACCCAGCGCTTCCCTTAAAGGGCTGTTTTCTTTTAAGGAGAAAAGGCAAGAGAGCAGTTGCTGCTGTTCCGAGAGGTGGCTGAGATATTGGAGCTAGGACGTTTAAACTCTTTCCTCGGAATCACAGAGAAGCTGCACAGCTTCTTCAGTGGGCTCTACTAAATTTGCTTCTTGTGAGGGGAAAAGTTGGATAGAAGATATTATAAAAGCTCCATCTCACATGAAAAGAGGGGTACATTTAACTCTTTCCCCACACGTATTTAACTATGCACACATCCATAGTAATTGAGAAAATATCAAAAGCTCCTACCCGGAAGTTATGATTTAAAGCACTTCACAAAGAGACACATAATATAGCAAGATAAAATAAATTAATGAAAATGAGATGACAGAAAGGAAAATAATTTGTCATTAAGCTTTTTTTTTTTTAAAGTGCATAAAATGGGTATCATGAAATCCTGTACATTTGCAAGTGGTTGGCCACAGATTTGGTCAGAAGCTTTTTAGCTATTTTAAAATGAGAAATATGTTTTGTTATAAGATTCAGTTTCTAACAGAGTAAAACAAGCATCAGGAGAATGCACTGTGAAGAGAGAAACTCCTCTACTGGACCCAGAGGAGAAGATGTTGTTAGGAAATCTTGATGAGAAGTTTATTCGTTAAATACAAGATTATCTACAGATCTGCTTCACCAAACTCTCCTTAAAAACAGCTGATGGTGGCTGCCTACGTGCAGTGCTGCTCTGTGTGGCTCTAGTCAAGGGGAAGAATTGTGCTTATTTAGAGCACATCACCTTTTTGGAGTCAGGGAACCAATTGGAATGAGATGTAAACCATGAATCCTCTTTCACTGGAAAAAAAAATGCTCTGAACAATCCGGCATTCAGTTTCAGGGGCCCACAACTTGGAGGAGTGGATGAGCTGCATAACCACGAGGCAGCATTGATGGTGGTATCTCTTGATACAGACCTTGAAAGGCATCCTGGGCTTACAATTGTGTCCCCCATGGCACTGCATGGCACAGCTGTCTGTACTGATAGTTAAGTGAGCAGCTGTCTATAAGGAACCAAGCCAGGGATAACTGAGGATATTTTGTGGAAATTGGAGTGTCATAAAGTTAAAAACTGAACAGAATGCTCTCACAAAGAAGAGATCCGATGGAGTATTTCCAGGAGAACCAAATTCTGTTGAGATATTCTGGCTTGTCTCTTATTCAGACACGAAGGAAAAATCAGAACATTTCAGTTTTTTTATCTTAAAGCATGGCCATAATTTTAGGTTGAAAAAAATATAAACAGGTATAAAACTCCCACCTTCCATAAAGCGCCTCTGAGATGCCAGCTTTGAGGACTAGAATTTCCTGGTGTGTCACCTATGGGCTGAACTGTGTTCCTCTCTCCCTCGAAGTTCATATGTTGAAGTCCAAACCCCTAGTACCTCAGAATGTGACTGTATTTGGAAATAGGGTCTTTAAAGAGATGATTGAGTTAAAAGAAAATCTGACTGGTGTCCTTATAGGAAGGGGAAATTGGGACAAACAAAGAGACACCAGGGATTTGTGTGCACAGAAGGAAGACCACATGAGGTCATAGCAAAAAGCCAACCATCTGTGAGTCAAGGAGAGAGGCCTCAGAAGAAACCAAACCTGTTGACACCTTGATCTAGGTCTTCCAGGTTCCAGAACTGTGAAATATAAAGGACATTTCTGTTGCTTAAGCCACTCAGTTTGCAGTATTTTGTTATGGCAGCCCTAGCAAACTAACACACCACTGAACAAAACATTCCTGGAAAGATACAATCAGATAACTGAATAATGTAATATGCTCTGTGGGGGTTTTACAGACATATTAACAAACTATGAGACATTTACTAAAACATGTCTTTTTAAACTGTAGTTTGTGGCCACTCTAGCAATAATTAGATGGCAGGCTCAGTTGTCTATTGAGGGTACTTACAGTTTGTGATTAAGCCCTATCATTGGCATGTAGAAAAATGTTTATTTTACATCTTCTGTAGTGGGAAGGTATGCATCTATTTCATCCAAATAGGAGCTGATTCTTAACTACAAGTTTGAAAGTAAGAAAAAATGGGAAATGCAGAGCATAACCTTATTGTACCCCACTTGCAAGGATCTGATGGGTAAGATTTTTACTACCCACCCTGACCATCACGATTTTATGAAAGCAATAAATCATTAAGAAGTCTTTCTTACTATATAAAATCTATATTATGAAACAGGCATTAAATAAGTGTCTCTATATGATCATACCTCAAAAAATGTTGTAAGGTATTGTTATCTCTATTTTATATTTGAGGAAACGGAGTATTGGAGATGAAGTAACTTGCCCCAAATCACATGGGATTTGAAGCTGAGTGTGTCTCCAAGCCTGTGCTCATAATCAGTATGTTTTACTGTGCTAATAATGAGGATTTCATAATAGTTGCAAGCAAAGCCCTTGTCTTAATCAGCCTGGGCTGCTATAACAATATACCATAGACAGGGTGGCTTAAACAAAAGAAATTTATTTGTTCACTGTTCTGGAGTCTGGAAGTCTGAGATCAGAGCGCCAGCATGGTCAGGTTCCGACGAGGGCTATCTTCTCGGGTTGCAGATGGCTGCCTCCTCGCTGTGTCCTCACATGGAGGGGGGAGAGAGAGAGAGACAGAGAGAGAGAGACAGAGAGAGAGACAGAGAGACACAGAGAGAGAGACACAGAGAGAGACAGAGAGACAGAGAGAGACAGAGACAGAGAGAGACAGAGAGACAGAGAGAGACAGAGAGAGACAGAGAGAGAGACAGAGAGAGAGAGAGGGAGAGAGACCACAGTCCTATGGGATAAGGGCCCCACTCTCTTAACTTTCATAAGATTTTGTCTCCAGATACAGTCACAGTAGGGGCTAGGGCTGCAACATATGAATTTTGGTGAGGAGGGAACACAATTCAGTCCACTGCAGCCCTAAAAGACCAATTATTGATAAGAGAAAGAGCACAACAATTCACAGAACTCAAGCTTATTCCTAACCAATTTTCCCAAAGGTGGTAGAATATAAGAATATCCAGAAGGGCCATTCCTAATGTTTACCTTCTCTATATGCTTCATGATGGCCATAAAAATCCAGGCTTGCTGTTTTGTCAAGAAGAAAACAGAAATGTATTATAGACAGAATGACTAGTATGCATTCAGGTTACAAATTAAGGGATAGTTGTCCTTACACTTTTTAAAAATTGCTTACTCCTATTGATATATAGAAAGTCTATTTTCTTTTCCATTTAGTTTACATAAAAGTAGAAAACAACCATATATCACAATATACTGAAAGCTAAAGAATGAGGGTGCTGTCAGCTGGTGGAAATCCTGCTCTTATTCAGGCTATCTTAGCTTCACACACATCATAGGACTAATACAGAATAAATGTGCTAGTCACAATCTAGATTAAATATGATGAAGTATATTTTTTTCCTTTTTCAAAGGATGAAAAGATACAAATAGAAGTTATTTCCAGCCGAAACCCCCATGATTGCCTTACACACACCTCTGAACGTGCACCTAGTTTGGAGACCACTAACTGTGGGTTATTCTCTGGGTCCTGCGGTGTAGAACAGTGCACATGGACTTGGTTAGAGTGAGCATGTAGCAATGGTCATTGCTCCATGCAATGGGGCTCCAGGGGCAATAAATCACCTGCTGCCCTCTCTCAACTGAAGTATACCATCTCGGCCCCCAACTCCATATCTTCCTGAATCTGCAGAACTGTTCTGTGACTACAGGAACTGGTTAAACTATCCCAGCCATAGGCAGTTCATGAGGCTGAATAATTAATTTCTCAGGTCAGAAAAGTTTTCTTAATTATTGTTTTCCTATCACACTCAGCAAAGAGCCTTAAATATATTAGACTCCAAAAATATTTGCTGAAAAAGCAAAATCAGAAAAAAATTTATCTGCCCAGTAAACTAGTGATTTTGGTGCTTAATGTCGGCACAACTAAGGATATCTGAGTGGGAGCATTGCAATATAGAAATTAAGTTAACCTCTCTTGTGGGAACCTCAGAGCAACGGTGCTATACTTTTTTAAAGCATAGTTATTATAAAGATGGTGAAATGTTAGGAATGAATGGATACTAACTTTTTATTGAAATCCTATAAAATAAGATTAGGACATGGTTACGGAAATTGCAGCTCTGGAT